TTGGGAGGCTGAGGCGGGTGGATCACGAGGTCAAGAGATCGAGACCATCCTGGTCAACATGGTGAAACCCCGTCTCTACTAAAAATACAAAAATTAGCTGGGCATGGTGGTGTGTGCCTGTAATCCCAGCTACTCGGGAGGCTGAGGCAGGAGAATTGCTTGAACCCAGGAAGCAGAGGTTGCGGTGAGCCGAGATCGCGCCATTGCACTCCAGCCTGGGTAACAAGAGCGAAACTCCATCTCAAAAAAAAAAAAAAGAATTTCCAAGGATTTAAACCAGAATCAGTGTAAAACCAATAGCTCTCCAATTTATTCAAAAGATTCGATGAGAAGGTTTCCTCTGAAATTTAAATAAGTCACTATTTGAACGGATGTGTGAGTCATTCGGCTGATGCTATGAACGTCCAAAATTATAATCTAATCCTTCGTAGCACTTAATTTTCATTACACCTGGACTCCATGTTCCACACAGTAAAATTCCCACCCACCGTTAAGGCCTTCCGTGCTTGAGAGCCCCAGCGGAGGGGGCTGAGAACTAGGGAGCCCTGTGGGACCCTCAGCGGATCTGTAAACCACCCTCCCACCGTCCTGAAGCGAATGCAGAGTGGGGGCCATGTACCTTCCTCTGGTTCCCACTGTTTTTATATAAGGATAGGTTGGCTGATATCAAACCAGTGATTTAATCTAGTTCAGGCAAAGCTTTCATATGTCAATTCCAAGTTTTTTAAGTAAAAAAATGATCACCAGTATTCATTATGTGTCAACAATGACTGTCTTTTTTTCAACATCTCGACATCCACATGTGAAAGCTTTCCTCGAACTAGATTAAATCACTGATTTGACATGAATCCACCAGCTGTTAACACGTCCTTTATTTGTTACGATATTACTATCTGTGTGGCATGAGGGGACGCAAAGTGGTTAAAATTTGTGGAACTGTATTTTCTGAGGCCTCCAGATACTTCAGAAATATGACAAATCACTCAGCAGAGCGGGACAACCCATGCTGTTTGCACAGTGGGCCTGTTTAATACTTGAATTTCCTGTGCGTGGGGTTTCATTGGGAAATGCAATCAACGCCAATCACCGAAAATGCATTCTGTGGCCCTAAACCAATCACGGGGCCGCACAGGGAACCAGAAGAGGGGCCTGGAGTCCCCTCGGCTTCTGTATAAATAGAGCAGTTCAGCTCCCGGCCGGGTGGAGAGCGCAGCCCCCACTCGAGGAGGTCGGAGGCGGAGGCCGGGAAGGCGGTGAGAGCCCCGCGGGGCTGCCCGTGGGGTTTAGGGGTTGGCGTGGGATGGAGGGGCTGTTTCAGAAAGATGTGGGTTTATCTTCCCAGGCGTTTGCTCGGAGACCTTGGGAAGGCAGCGGGTCTCCTCTGCACCCCGTTACTAACTCTGACTCATGTAACCCTTCTGTAAACTAGCCATCCGCCCGCCTCTGCCTCCTGAGTAGGTGGGACTGCAGACATAAGCCACAACGACCGAATAAACTGTTTAATTTGTTCTGCAGAGATGAGGTCTCGGTGTGTCGCACAGGCTGGTCCTGAACTCCCAGCCACAAGCAGACCTCCCATACGGGACTTCCAAAGTGTTGGAATTACAGGTGTGAGCCACCTTGCCTGCCACACACCCTTCTTAAAAAGCATTGCTGGGCCAGGTGCGGTGGCTCCCACCTATAATCCAGCACTTTGGGAGGCCGAGGCGGGTGGATCATGAGGTCAAGAGATCCAGACCATCCTGGTCAACATGGTGAAACCCCATCTCTACTAAAAATACAAAAAATTAGCTGGACATGGTGGCGCGTGCCTGTAATCCCAGCTACTCAGGAGGCTGAGGCAGGAGAATTGCCTGAACCCAGGAGGCGGAGGTTGCCGTGAGCCGAGATTGCTCCATTGCACTCCAGCCTGGGTAACCAGCGAAACTCCGTCTCAAAAAAAAAAAAAAAAAAAAAAAAAAAAAAAAAAAAAGCATTGCTGGATTTTCCCTTTCCACAGAGTAAAATCAAGCCATTAATGAATGAGCATCAACCTGCTAGGCCAGTGAGAATCTGAGCTAAGTGTCCCTACCTGGGTGTCCTGTGTGCTGTCTACTCCCAGAACTGAACACTGACCCCTGTACGTACATTTATTTTCTCCCGTGTCCTGTTGCTTGCTTTAATGCGAAAAGACGTGAGAGCAAATACAAGGAGGTTTCTAGGAACGTGAAATCAATTTTTTAAGAGACAGGCTCTGACTGTGCTGCCCAGGCTGTTATCAAACCCTTGGGCTCCAGTGATCCTCCCGCCTCGGCCTCCCGAGCAGCAGCAGCTCCCTGTGGCAAGCCACTTTTAATGCAGAATTTCAGGCTGCCTGTTCTCTCTCACGTCTCTATGCTTTTTCAACAAAAAATTAATTTGCTTCTAATTGAAAACTAAACATTGTACATATTTGTGGTGTACGGCATAATGTGCTTTGCAGGATATAGAACTTGTAAAAGGGCTAAACTGAGCTAGTATTCCATATGCGCTAACTCATGGGCTAATCATCTTCGGTCGTGCGAATACCTGAAATCTACTCTTTTAGCAATTTCCGAGTGTACAGTGCGTTGTTTCGAGCTGAAGTCCCCATGTGGGACAGTTGCTCTCCTGAGCTGATTTCTTCAACTGACACTCACACCCTTTGACCTACGTTTCCCCAACCCCCACCCAGCCCTGGTAACCACCGTTCCACTCACTGCTACTGTGAGTCCACTGGGTTTTAATTATTTATGTCATTTACTTCCTTTGTTTAAATTTTTTCATAATTTGAGCTTGTATTTTGGATTCGGTGGGTACCTGTGCAGATCTGTGGCAGGAGGGTATTGAGTGATGCTGAGGTTTGGGGTGTGACTATCCGTCACCTAGGACGTGAGGACAGCACCCTATAGGTGGTTTTTCAACCTTCCCTCCCTGTGTCCCTCCCGAGGTTCACTGGTTTGGATCCACGTCCTGATTTCCTTTCCTGTGTACACGCCCAGGAGCGGGACGGCCGGATCAAGCAGTTGTTCCACTTCTGATGTTTTGGGAGCTTCTACACTGTCTCCCATGTCGGCTGCACTGACTTACATTCCCAGCACAGGGCGCCGAGGCTCCCTGTCCTCCGAATCCTCTCCCACACTCTTGCCATGTATCTTTTTGGGAAAAGCCACTCTAGCTGGCGTGAGGGGTGTCCTGTGGTTTGGATTTGCATGTCCTGAAGATGAGTGATGATGAGCACCTCTTCCTAGACCTGCTGGCCATTCACAGGTCTCCATCTGAGATGTCCACACAGGCGTCTTGCCCCCTTCTAGTGGGTTCTGTTTTCTCGCTGTGGAGTAGTTTGAGTTGCTTGTGCTTTGCATAGGAGCCCGTGTGAGATGCGTGGTGTGTAAATACTGTCTCCTCCTCTGGGTTGTCTCCCCGCTCTGCCGATGCTCTCCCTGGCTATCTGTCTGTTCTGCACCTGCTCAGATTCCTTCCAGGAGGTTTGGGTTTCCATCCTCCAGGCTTCCAGGGACCTTTCCCGAGACCCTCCTGCCAGTTCTTTCTCCTCTCTGCAGACCTTGAGGCGGCTTCTCCCGCCTGTGGCTAGGAAAGCAGGGCTGCGTTCCCATAGCTGTTGGCCTTGGAGGATGACTACTGCCTGGAGAGTATCACACAGTGGCTCCTGCCTGATGAAGCTACATTTAGAACCAAATTTCAAAACATGTTTCTATTGTCGGATCCCACTTCCTGAAAATTTCATAGAGCACCAGACTTTAAATCCATTTTCTGAGATGAGATTAAGAATAGAGAAACCTTTAGAGACAGAAAGCAGATTAGGGATTGCCAGGGGCTGGGGTGGGTGGGCAGGGGTGATTCCTGATGAGCATGGGGCTTTTTGGGGGGTGATGACTTAACTGTGGAACTAGACAGTGGTGATGTTCACACAACACCGTGCATGTCTTAGTGCCACGAAATTGTGCTCTTGAGGAGGGTAAAAATGGTGAAATTTCTGAATGTACCTTTACGAAAATGACAAAAATATCTGTGTAGGAGCTTAATTCTCACAGGATTTCTTTTTTTTTTTTTTTTTTTTAAGACGGCGTTTCACCACGTTGGTCAGGCTGGTCTTGAACTCCGGACCTCAGGTGATCCTCCCACCTTGACCTCCAAAGTGCTTGGATTACAGGCCTGAGCCACCATGCCCAGCCCTCACAGGATTCTTTAATGCACTCCCTTCCCTGGAGCAAGTAACTGTTCTGGGATTAACACAAATACGTGTTGGGGGAAAATGTTCCATTCTGACTCTTTTTCTCTGTCTTTTTGCATAATTATGATGAAGGGCTTTGCTTTGGATCTTGATGGGAAAACATAAAGAATTTATCTTATCATTACATTATATTTTGGGAGCTTCACATAACTATCCTATTTAATTTATAGTCGAGAACAGTGTTGTGTTGGCAGGGCGCGGTGGCTCATGCCTGTAATCCCAGCACTTTGGGAGGCCGAGGTAGGCGGATCATGAGGTCACGAGTTCAAGACCAGCCTGGCCAACACAGTGAAACCCTGTCTGTAATTAAAATGCAAAAATTAGCTGGGCGTGGTGGCGCATGCCTGTAGTCCCATCTGCTCGGGAGCCTGAGACAGGAGAATTGCCTGAACCCAGGAGGTGGAGGTTGCGGTGAGCCGAGATCGCGCCACTGCGCTCCAGTCTGGGAGACAGAGCAAGACTCCATCTCCAAAAGCAACAAAGCGTAACATTGTTCCAGTTGAAAGGAAAACGGATTCCATCTCCGCACAGTGATTTTCCAGACCTCAGAATCCAGGGCAGCATTTAGGTTTGAAGCCGGAGCATGCAGTCAGGTACAGACACCGGAAGAATAAGAGAGTGCATTGATTTCCACTGGGCTGAGTCTGACGCTGCTGAAGAACCGGCGTCCAAGATGAGGGATTTTGAGGGGAGGGGCGGATGGAGTAGAAACTTGGACTGATCAGGCTCATGCTTTTTTCCCCCCCAGACTTCTGAACAAACAGTGACTCCATTGCTGAGGAAGGCCAGGGGAAGCCTGTGTGGAAGGAGAGAACCCAGGACTTACATCCACATATCTGCATACCTATCCTGTATAGGCAGGTGCCAGTTAGATACCAGCCACGGGAAGAGCTTTCTCAGAGACCGAGCACAACATTCTCCACTAGATATGGCTGCAAACTGTGCACCCTCATGGGGTCAGGGAGAAGCCTGCGACAGCCGTGGGCTGCAGCTGCCACGGTTGGTGGCATCCTCAGAAACTCCACTCGGAAATCATGACCGGGACCCTGAGACTTGTCACATGAACTTCAGGATGTTCAGCTGCCCGGAGCAGTCGGACCCCATCCAGGCTCTGAGGAGACTCACTGAGCTGTGCCACCTGTGGCTGAGGCCCGATCTCCACACCAAAGAGCAGATCCTGGACATGCTGGTGATGGAGCAGTTCATGATCTCCATGCCACAGGAGCTCCAGGTCTTAGTCATGATGAACGGGGTGCGGAGCTGCAAAGAGCTGGAGGACCTGCTGCGGAATAACAGAAGACCCAAGAAATGGGTGAGTAGGACCCTGGTGGTTGGTGCAGGGAAGGGGAGCTGGGCTGGGCCTGCAAGATGCAGCCGGACTGGAGAGGACACGAGGGGCTGCTCTAGGTCAGGGCTTCCAAGTAGAGGAGAGTTTGCCCATCAGGGACACATGGCAGTGTCGGGGGACATTATTTGGTTGTCACAAATAATTCTCCAATGCTCAGGACAACCCACCATGACAAATACTCATCCAGCTTCAAATATCAGCTGTGCTGAGATGGCACATCCCTGATCTAGGAGAGGGACAGGCAGAGGGGACCCAGAGACCCACACCCTGTGTGAGGCCAACATGAAACAAAGATATTGGTAAAATATTACGCCTGACGGAACCCAGGGAAGGAGGCATTAGAGTGAACTGAAGGGGGGTCCAGAAGTCCCCACCTGAGGGAGGGAAACGGTTGGCATCAGAGATCCAGGCATCTCTCTCCAGGTCCCCACAGGAGCCCCTAAATTCCAGCACAAGGTGAGCTGCCGTCGGCCAGTTGAGCTGGATTCACCCAGAATATTTCTCCTTTCCTTCTTGGTTTAGAGACCTTTTCATCCAAAGGACCCATCTTTATGTTCTTGTCTAGAGAGGAAGAAATTCAGACAGGACTGCTGTGTCCACAGAGCTGACTGTGCATTGGGAAGGCGATTTTTTTTTTTTTTTTGAGACGGAGTTTCGCTCTTGTTACCCAGGCTGGAGTGCAATGGTGCGATCTCGGCTCACCGCAACCTCCGCCTCCTGGGTTCAGGCAATTCTCCTGCCTCAGCCTCCTGGGTAGCTGGGATTACAGGCACGCGCCACCATGCCCAGCTAATTTTTTGTATTTTTAGTAGAGATAGTCTCGATCTCTTGACCTCGTGATCCACCCGCCTCGGCCTCCCAAAGTGCTGGGATTACAGGCTTGAGCCACCGCGCCCGGCCGCAGGAAGGCGATTTTAAACATTAATAACAGTCAAGTGTGAGCATGACGGCAGGACCAAGGGAATGTGAGAGCTACTTTCAGGTTCTCACCGTGCGTCTGATTGTCTTTTTTCTCTACAGTCTGTGGTCACCTTTCAGGGAAAGGAATATATCGTGCAGGACTCAGATGCTGAGATGGCTGAAGCCCCCGCCAGTGTCAGGGATGATCTGAGAGACGTGCCCAGCCAGCGGGCCTCCTCTGTGAATGACGTGCACTCGGGGGAAGGCCAGGCCAGCCGAGAGCTGCAGACCCTGCCCTGGGTCCCTGCACTGTCCAGGGGGCAGGTGAGTGTGTGAGGCCCTGGTGTCTGGGCAGAGGTGGGGGAAGGAACAGGAGGAAATCATGTGGCTGCTGGACTGATTGAGAGATTTGGCACAGGACAAAATTAGAGCCATTCTCCATGGACATGGTACATCCCCAGGCATTCCTGAGCCCTCACAGAGAGTGAAGGCTCGTCTACTTTTCCATGAAAACTTTTAGCATTTAGGGTAGGGGTAAGAAATGTTGTCAGTGAAGTGAGAGAGGCAGTTGGCACAAATGAATGAACTGAAGGTCCCTTCCCCACGGCCAGTTTCCTCAAAGACATTTCATGAAATCATTCAGCAAGGAAACTATTTTCTACAGATTGTCTTTTTCTTAATTCTAGGACTGTTTCTTAACTGTGTTGATTTTGCCTTTCAGGACACATTTACCATGTGTGGAGATTTTTTTTCTGTCATTGTAGGGGGTGGTGGGGAGTTCACAGCATCTAAAGGGTGGAGGCGGGGTCTCTGCACTGCACAGGAGCGTCCCCAGCAGGAGGATGATGCAGCCCCTGTGCCAGTGGTGCCACGGGTGAGGGACCTCGATCTAGAGTCCTGCTCCTTCCAGAGTCAGGGCAGGGAGAGTGTGGCATGGCTGGGAGAAATAGGCTCAGAGAACCAAAGAGTTGAAAACCACCAGGCACAGGAGCTGACTTAGAATATGGAGGGTCCCGATTAGGGACAGACTCAGAAATGAGGTGGTGATGTTGACTTGGGGTGATGGGGTGGCCCAGAGGAAGTCTGCACGTTTCTACACCTGTGTCATTAGAAAAGTTGGTTCATCCAATCAGGAAGAGATGGAGATGTTTGTGCTTCCACCAGTTTAGACCCAGCAGTCATTGCTCTCGATTTTTCACTGTCAGGGAGAGGACTTCCTGCTACAAAAGAGTATTGTCATGAAAGGTGACCCAAAGGTTCTGAGACCCAAGCAGAACGTGGAGAAGGATCTGAAGGAAAACAGCAAAGAGAACCCAGGACTCACATCTCCAGAGCCTCAGCTTCCACAGGGTCCCAGTGAGTATGGAGACTTGGATCCACAGGCAGTTAGCCCCTCTCTTCTTGGGTGGGGGGCTGGGGCCAGCATGATCACTCCTGGGGGAGTCGTTGCTCAGCTACCAAAGCGTCTCTGTCCCCCACTCTCCAGAGACCTACGGTCCCATGTCTTAGGCTTGAGGTGGAGGGAAGTTCTCAGCCAACTTCAGCGTTTGGTTGCAGTGAGTTTGGTGAATTGAGAATGTGTTTTATTCACTGTTTTCTGTGGAATCCCTTTTTCCAGCAGATCTGGTGAGGGCAAAGGATGGGAAGGAACTGCAAAAAAGAGCCTCTGTGGAGAATGTGGATGCTGACACAGCTTCTGCCTGCGCGGTGGACACAGAAGCTTCGACTCACAGTGAGGACAGAGAGTCTCTGAATCCGAGAGGTCCCAAAAGAAGCAAACCAGACGCCACCTCCATTTCCCAAGAAGAGCTGCAAGGAGGAGACACACCTGTGGGCAACAGAGAATCCCCGGGACCAGCTGGGATGAATCCAGTTCATTCCCCAGGCCCTGCGGACGCAGGCAGTCACCCCGCTGGCCAAGAAGCCGTGGCACTGCCACCCTTTGCATGTGACGTGTGCAGTAAAAGCTTTACATGCAATTCCAAGCTGGTCATCCACAAGAGATCACACACCGGAGAGAGACTCTTTCAATGTAATCTCTGTGGCAAGCGCTTCATGCAGCTCATCAGCCTCCAGTTTCACCAGCGAACTCACACCGGCGAGAGGCCCTACACGTGTGACGTCTGCCAGAAGCGGTTCACGCAGAAGTCCTACTTGAAGTGTCACCAGAGAAGCCACACAGGGGAGAAGCCCTACGAATGTAAAGTCTGCAAGAAAGTTTTCACCTACAGAGGGAGCCTGAAGGAGCACCAGCGAGTCCACTCCGGAGAGAAGCCCTATAAATGCTCCAAGTGTCCGAGAGCCTTCAGCCGGCTGAAATTGTTAAGACGCCACCAGAAGACACATCCAGAAACCACTTCGCAGTGATCTCGTAGTCAGGTCTGTGTCTTCTGCACCAAGAAGGAGTGAATGATGCTTTTTCTCCAGTGTTGTCAGATGACACATGACGGGACAAGGGTGCCTGACACACAGAGAGGGTGCCCTAGATAGGAAATCCCAGGGTGTCTGAGTAAATACGTGTCCTCCCCACTGAGTTTTGTTTTCTGTTTCATTATGTCTGTTGTTTTCTTATAGGTTTATTCTGCTTTGTATTGCTGTTCTTTCAATAAATGATTGTCTTACTAGTTTTCAATATTTGTATAAGGAGAAACCGAGTCTCCCGGCCGACATGCTGTTACCCACTATTTTGCTGTGAAGTACAGTGGTCCAAGGACAGTGGGAAGATCAAATACACGATGCCTGGGGAAATCTGAGCTTGGGATGAACAAGTTCTTTTAGCATCAGCATGTTCTAAAGTCTTATTTAACTGAAACAGCTTTTATTGGTTATCCTGGAGAGTCTTTCTTTTTCTTTCCTTCTTTCTTTTTGTTTCTTTCTTTCTTTCTCTCTCTCTCTTTCCTTTCTTTCTCTTTCTTTCTTTCTTTTCCTTCTGTCTCTTTCTTTTTTTTTTTTTTGAGACGGAGTTTCGCTCTTGTTACCCAGGCTGGAGTGCAATGGCGCCATCTCGGCTCACGGCAACCTCCGCCTCCTGGGTTCAGGCAATTCTCCTGCCTCAGCCTCCCGAGTAGCTGGGATTACAGGCACGTGCCACCATGCCCAGCTAATTTTTGTATTTTTAGTAGAGATGGGGTTTCACCATGTTGACCAGGATGGTCTCGATATCTTGACCTCGTGATCCACCCACCTCGGCCTCCCAAAGTGCTGGGATTACAGGCTTGAGCCTCCGCGCCTGGCTTCTTTCTGTCTCTTTCTTTCTCTTTCTCTCGCTCTTTCTTTGTCTCTCTCTGTCTTTCCTTTCTTTCTCTTTTTCTCTTTCTTTCTTTCTCTCTCTCTTTCTTTCCTTTCTGTCTTTCTTTGTTTCTTTCTCTCATTCTCTTTCTTTCTCTCTCCCTGTCGTTCCTTCCTTTCTTTCTCTCTCCTTTCTGTCTCTTTCTCTCTTTCTCTTTTTCTCTTTCTTTCTTTCTCTCTCTCTGTCTTTCTTTCCTTTCTGTCTTTCTTTGTTTCTTTCTCTCTCATTCTCTTTCTTTCTCTCTCCCTGTCGTTCCTTCCTCTTTCTTTCCTTTCTTTCTGTCTCTTTCTCTCTTTCTCTTTCTCTCTCTTTCCCTCTCTCTGTCTTTCCTTTCTTTCTCCACTCTCACCATCACTGCTCACTGCAGCCGCCGCCTTCCAGGCTCCAGCTGTCCTCCCTTCTAGGCCTCTCGAGCAGGTGGGACTCCAGGAGCACATCACCAAGTTGGCTGACTTTTGTGGTTTTTATGGTGATGGGTTTCTGCATGCTGCCCAGGCTGGTCTGGAGCTTCTGAGTACAAGTGATCCATCTGCCTCGGCTTCCTTAAGTGCTGGCATTACTGGTATGAGCCACTCCACCCTGTATTGTTTTTACTAGATTTTATTATAATTATAACAGTAAAAGTTTTTGCAATAATTTTTGGTAGTGATGAGATCTGGCTTTGTTGCCCAGGCTGATGTGGCATAAGCCACCACACCTGGCTTTAGGCATTTATTTTTCAGAGCTGTTACAGGTTCACAGGGAAATTCAGCGGACAGCACAGCGTTCCCCTAGAGGGGATCCCCACACAGCACAGCCTCTCCCCATCGGCATCCCCAGCAGGGTGGGGCACTTGTTCCGTCAGTGAGCCTGCCTGGACACATCCTCACCACCCAGACCCCGTGGTGTCCATTAGGGCTCGCTGTTGGTGTTGTACATCCTGGGGGTTTGGACATGGGCCTAATGATGAGCATCTACCACTGGAGTATCACAGGGGGGTGTCTTCACTGCCCCCCGAGCCATCTCTGCTCTGCCTATTTACCTGCCTGCCCCGGGTGGTGGATTTTTTGGTTTACATTCGGCGACCCCTAAATTCCCGGTTTGACTCTTGAACTACAGAGGCAATTGGAGTCTGTGGTGACGAGTTGGTCGTAGAGATATTACCATCCCCTGAAGGCTTTGTTAATCCCTAGATGGGTGGGCCCCGAACTCAGGGCTTCCTATTTAGTAGATCGGGGGTGGGGCCTGAGCATGTGCATTAAAAAGTAGAATTCACTCGCACCTGTAATCCCCGCACTTTGGGAGGCCAAGGCGGGTGGATCACAAGGTCAAGAGATCGAGACCATCCTGGTCAACATGGTGAAACCCCATCTCTACTAAAAATACAAAAATTAGCTGGGCACGGTGGTGCGTGCCTGTAATCCCAGCTACTCAGGAGGCTGAGGCAGGAGAATTGCCTGAACCCAGGAGGCGGAGGTTGCAGTGAGCCGAGATCGCGCCATTGCACTCCAGCCTGGGTAACGAGCGAAACTCCGTCTCAAAAATAAATAAATAAATAGAATTCTTATTAGAATAACTTTCTAAAGTCCACTGAGCTCCCTAATGTCGCACACCATTGCCCCCAGTGTCAACATGGTTCATTAGTATTGTACATTTGCCACGAGGGATGAACTGACCGAAAATATTGCCCCTACCTCATAGAGACCTTTGTGTTCGCCCGGTGCCCTCCCCCTTCCTCCCCATCCAGGACGCCACATTGCCTTCAGTTGTCACGTCTCCCTAGGCTCCTCTTGGTGACGGTTTCTCAGATTTTACTTGCTTGGGATCACCTGAGAATCTGCACGTTGAGCTCACAGGCAGGGTCCGGCGGTTCTCAGAGGTCTGGGAGGGTCACTTCCTGAATAGCTTGGATTCGTTTATTAAGTTCGCTGTTGTGACACCTCAGTTCTCGTCTTCTTAATTTAAAGGAATTTAATAGAGACACACAGCAAAAGAGACATAGCGTAGAGTAATTGATTGCACAGAAATATAATATTTTGGAAGTTAAGTGCAGAACAGACAGGACACTCTGAGAGAGAGGATTCAGGGCGGGCTGCTCCTAAGGATGAGACGGCAAAGACCCGCTCCAGGGAGACACCCTTTATGGGAGTGTCAGCAGCAGCTGTGCACACGTCTCTTCAGCATCTTAAATCTCCACCGACGGCTGTGTTTTTAGCTATCATAAAAAGCGAAGTGTCAGTGTGTGGATGAGTCAAGATCAAAGTGTGTGGGCCGGGCACGGTGGCTCAAGCCTGTAGTCCCAGCACTTTGGGAGGCCGAGGTGGGTGGATCACGAGGTCAAGAGATCGAGACCATCCTGGTCAACATGGTGAAACTCCGTCTCTACTAAAAATACAAAAATTAGCTGGGCATGGTGGCGCGTGCCTGTAATCCCAGCTACTCGGGAGGCTGAGGCAGGAGAATTGCCTGAACCCAGGAGGCAGAGGTTGTGGTGAGCCGAGATCGCGCCATTGCACTCCAACCTGGGTAACAAGAGCGAAACTCCGTCTCAAAAAAATAAAGTGTGCGTGCTCTCTGCAGGGGAGGTTCCCTACTGGGGATGACTTTGCCTGAATGAACTCAGTTACTGTGTGAGGCTTATTGTGTTGACTGCGCGGTCACCACGCGTGCACAATCCCAAGCATGTGATCACTTCCCTGACTACCTATCCTGCCTCACCCAGGGCCCTTTCGGAGCAGAATTCTTTCAGGCAGGCACCTGGAATCCACTGTAGAATGTACATTTACTCCGTGTTCCTTCAAGAAGTGGATGTAGGGGTGGATGGTGGTTCTCTGTTTTGATGATCGGGTCCAGCCTTCTTCAGCAGACCTAGAAAATGTTTTTGATGATACCACCTGCCCATTTAATTTCAATCATAGTGCTCTATGATCTGTTAATGGCATCCAGTGTTTCTTTTTTTTTTTTTTTTTTTGAGATGGAGTTTCCCTCTTGTTACCCAGGCTGGAGTGCAATGTCGCGATCTCGGCTCACCGCAACCTCTGCCTCCCGGGTTCAGGCAATTCTCCTGCCTCAGCCTCCTGAGTAGCTGGGATTACAGGCATGTGCCACCATGCCCAGCTAATTTTTTTGTATTTTTAGTAGAGACGGGGTTTCACCATGTTGACCAGGATGGTCTCGATCTCTTGACCTCGTGATCCACCCGCCTCGGCCTCCCAAAGTGCTGGGATCACGGGCGTGAGCCACCGCGCCCGGCCTCCAATGTTTCTTTAGCCTTCGTTTCCTGATTTGGCTACATGTTCCAGTGACTTGCGGAGTTTTAAATACTTTTTTTTTTTTTTTAAAACAATGCCTGGGGTCCAGCCCAGAGATAATGACATGATTGGTGTAGGATGTGGCCCCCGTGTTGAGTTTATAAAAGTCCTCAGGTGATCCAGCATGTGGCTGCACCTGGCAGGTCGCTTTTCTGATTGCCCGGCCACTCTAATTCCTGTCCTCTCATGGACTTCAGTGAGTTCATTTCCATGTCAGGATCATGCACCTCCATTCCCAGTCTACAGAAGGTAGACACCACTGCTGGCTCCTACCCACCCTGGAGGGGGGTCTGTCCTGCCATAACTGGCTTCATGAATGACTCCAGAGACTGCCCCTCATGGCTCAGGGCACACCTGGCACTAGGGGGCTTTGCACTGCTGCTCCTCAGCTGCCTACGTGCGCTGGTGAATGAATGCTCCAAGCCAAGAGGCTGATTTATCTGATGCCCTCAATGGCAATAAAAACAAGATACCCTCTGTAACCCCATAAGCCCAGTGCTGGAAATGACTTGGAAGTGAATTTAGAAGGTGCACTTTTCGACAGAGAAACAACAACCCAGCATTGGTTGACCTACCCAAGCTGGAACCAAATCTGCACCAACCCACCTGGCCCACATGGTGGCTTTTTAGATACTGACCTTACAGATGGGACACGAGGTGGGCAAGGAGGTGGTAGCCCCGACATGGGAAAGAGGGGGAAGAGATCGGCTCCCCTGGCATGACCCCTGGGGTCTTGGAGGCTGGGCGGGTCAACATGTCTGGAATTGTTTCTAGCTTTCTGGTTTCCCAGAAAAAGGAGCTGGGAAGACAGGCTCAAGGGATTCTCCTGCCTCAGCCTCCCTAGTAGCTGGGACTACAGGTGTGTGCCACCACATCCAGCTAATTTTTACATTATTTATAGAGATGGGGCCTCACTATGTTGCCCAGGCTAGTCTCTAACTCCCGGGCTTGAGCAATCCTCCTGCCTCAGCCTCCCAAAGGGCTGGATTACAAGTGTGAGTCGCTGCACCTGCTCATGGATCTTGGCCCAGGGTCTTCTTCTGCCAGCTTGGA